CGACGCCCACCGCCGCCGGCGCGCCGGACACGCAGAGCTCCACCCGCAGCAACGCCCAGAACGAGCGCCCGAAAGCCGCCCACTCCTCGGAGCCTCTCGCGCACCTGCCGGCGTCCGCGGCGTCGAAGCGCACCCCGCCCAGGTAGCGGATGCGCTCGTGGGTGGCGCTGGAGAGCGCCGGGAGCAGCTCCGGCTCGCCCTCGTCGTCCTCGAGAGGCAGCCCAGGGGCCCAGAAGTCCGGGCGTCGTGGTACAACTGCGACGAACGTTTCGCGTCCTGTTTCGGGCCCCCGGGACCTCGGTCCAGCTCGAGGTAATCCTGGAAAGACGTGGTCGAGTGCCCTGGTCGTGTTCTGCACGACTTTGTGTTTTTGTTCACGTCGTTCCTTAGGAGCGTTTCGCTAAAGGTTCTACTAGATAGAGAGAGAGAGAGAGAGAGAGAGAGAGAGAGAGAAACAAAAAAAAAAAGCCCACAGGGGGGACGCGAAGCCCTAGACCGCCCGGTCTGGCACCCGTTTCGCCTGAGGCGTTCTCACAACTTATTCAGGAATCGTGCTCTCGTCTCGATGGCGGCTACATGTGCGGTCCCGACCACGACCCCTTGCAAAAAAACGAACTACGGTGCACACTGCAGTGCTCCCACCCCTGTCCCGCCTGCCAGCGTTCCCAGGAATCCCCAGGAAGACCTGGGGGTGCACGTTCTCACTGGCCGACAGCCTTCTCCTCGACCTGCCCTTACGTCTTTGCTGCCATCTGAGTGCTCTGCCACGGAAGCCGCCTGTCGGAGGGTCGGGGGGTCGAGGAGCCGAGTGCGGCGGCATCGAGTCGGCAGAGCCGTCGCCAGCGCGCCAGCGACTCGCGATCCCCATGCAGGGCCACGGACGCAGGGCCGTGGCCCCGTTTCGGCGGTCGGTGACGCCGCTCTCGTCGGCACTCCCTGCTGCGGAGCTCGGGGCGGCGATCGAGGGGCATCTTGGGATCGAGGCACCCCGCTCCCGAGCCACCTCTCCATGTGTTGCGCGGCTCGCCAGAAGCGGGGGCGCGCAACACATGGATCGGGGGAGGTGCCCTCCCCAAAATGCGGCCGGTGCCGCCTCGTTCGGCGGCTGAAATCCGCGATTTCCCATGGAAACGGGACCCGTCGCTAATCCACGCCCCCTTAATCCATGGCTGCGATCGCCTGACACAGAGAGGGTGGGGGGGGCTCTGGGAAGGGAATTCGCAGAGGGTAGAGAGCTCCTCATAACGATGAAGAACAACACACACTCAAACCCACAGGGAGGAAGACTGGGGAAGGGCAGTGCGATGAGGGCGCTGTGGGTGCGGGTGCGAGCTGTCGTGCCACGAGCCGGGCTCCCGTTCGAGCGGGGGGCCCCACCCGATAACACACACCCACAATTAGCCCCGCTCCCCAGAATTCCACCACGAGAAATCTGAAAATCGCGTCGGTATGGGTGCTAGTTGTCAACCCATGACAGAAGGGCTCGGAGGTGACGAGAAGGCTTCTCAGGATGCGGGGGGGGGGGGGAGGGAGCTTCTCAGGAGGCTCCTGCCCTCGTCCGGCATAAGGGAAGAAATGGTCCTGAAGGAAACGGGCCCTGAACTTCTTGGGGGTTCCCCGGGATCTCCATCCCGAATCGTTCTCTGACGACCCCCCGGCCCCAAGGCGGGGTCCCAGGAAGCCGAAAACATGCGAAACATGACCGGGGCACCCTTCCCTCCAGATCCTCTCTCCGTAGCGGTTCTTGGAAGACTGCCCCCCTCCCCCCTGACGGCGGGGGGACATCTCGACCCCCAACACCCCGACTTCGTGAGGTCTTTCGAACGGCCACAAACAAATTGACCCAACTAGGGGGTAGTATACGCTGGGGGGCGCCCATCCTCGATGGGGCTGCGTCCAGATAGCCCCCTGGAGCTGCATCCCCGACTGCCCCTCCTTTTCTGAGCGGCCTGACCTTTCTGGGTAAAGTATGGGAGTGGGGGCGAGAAATCGCCTGCGAGGCCCCCCTCGGGCCGCTCGGACAAGGAAGGACAGGCGGGAATACAGCCCCGAAGAGGTTCTCTGGACTCACCCCCTCCTATCGAGGATGGACGCCCTCCCCGACGTGTATCCCTGGGTTGTGCCCAGCGTTCCTGGCCCGTTGGCAGACCCCACAAAATCGGGCCCCTGGGGGCCTGACACGTCCCCCGTCCGCTGCGCGACACCCGCACGCCGCGGCCGAGTCCTCCCGCACGGAGTGCACGTGGGCCGCGCCCACGCCAGCCACGAGCGCGGAGCCGTCGCGCGAGAAGAACAAGGCACGGGGCGTCAGGCTGGCCTGGGCCTCGAGCCACCCGAGCAGCAGGCGCTCGTGGCCCTCCAGGGCCACCAAGGGCACCTCCAGGCGCAGGGTCCACCTGAGCGGAAAAAAGAAAGAGAGAGAGAGAGGGAGAAACAACAGGACAACTGTTCGCGTGGCGGCCACTCGCGCGGCGGCGCGGCGTGGAGCACGTCACACGCA